TTAAAAAAAAAAAAAAAAAAAAAAAAAAAAAAAAAAAAAAAAAAAAAAAGCCCTAGTAGGTGTGGCTCAGGGCTCAGATGGTCGGGTATAGTCCCATGCACTGACAGGCTGCCAGTTCGATTCCCAGGCAGGGCACATTCCCGGGTTGCGGCTAGATCCCTGGTTGGGGGCATGCAGGAGGCAGCATATCGATGTTTTGCTCTCACATGGGTATTTCCTTCTCTTTCTCCCTCTCCCTTCTCCACTCTCTAAAAAAAGTCAATAAAAAAATATTTTTAAGAAAATCCAACTAAAATACATTATAAGAACAAGACAGAAGAAAATAAGACAAAGAATCTAAAACTGATAAATTCCAGGGGGTGGGGATATGGTAGGAGTTAACTAATGCTTCAAATCTTAACTTTATCACAATTACAGGTCAATAATCAGACCAAATGAAAAAATTCTGCAAACAAGATAGCTGTTAAAACAACCAAATTAAGCTATAGGTTCCCAGTAGGCAGCTTCTAATGCTCTAGATGTATTTCAGGCAGAAATCATTACCCCAGAGGATTATTTGGCCCTAATTAAACAGAATTCTTCACCTAGCAAAGTGACAGTTGTATCAGAGATCTGATTTTTAAAAATAATACAGAGAACAAGAATAGAAGGAGATAGCAATTGGAAAGAAACTAACCTGCCCTGTGATTCTGCCTAACAAGGCCCATATTCCTTGCCCTTCACTTCGAAGTTTCCCATTCAGGTTTTGTAGTTCTTCTAAAGATTCACATAGCTACAATGCAAATAATTCAAATTAGTAAACCTTTAAAGTATATAGTAAAATATGTAAAAATATAATTATTTACCTATAAATATCCACTAATATCTGTATTCCACATAGTTTATGTACAATACAAGTCACAATACTACTGAGAGATGAGGCTATCCAATTAGTTAAGTCTCAACAAAATGTAAGCATTTTATGTTAGTATTTAATGACAATACCTATATTTATATATTGCTATCGTTCACTATATAATTTCACACACATTTTGCTAATTAATTCTTGTGACTGTCAAAACACATTTCTACCATATCCCAATGAGAAAACCAAAAAACAAAGGGCTTTTGTGACTTAGCCAAGATCATAGAACTACCAAGAACCCCCAGGTCTTCTGAATCTAATCCCAGTACTCTTTCACTACTGTTTGGGTAATTATGGGATATTTCTTTTTACTAATTTTTTATCACTTAAAATGTTATCTAACAATAATACCAGTTTTATATGCTCATGTTACTTATTACCTAACATCTTAACCACATTTTGCTTTTGTGCAATCTTTCTTTTTGAGGTCCCTCATCATTAGAACGAAGAGACAGAATAAAAATTTGAATTGGGAGGTATTTTTTTAATCAAAAGTAACATTACAAAAAATTCGAGATAAAAATAGTAATTTAATAATTAGTTTCTAAGTTTTCTACAAACTTAGAGAAGTTCCATAGTACAGGGGTTAGGAATAAGGAATGGAGTCAGACTGCTTGGCCTCAAGCACAAACTCCATGACTTGATGGTGTACATGGCCTAAGCAAATTACTTCACCTGTTTAGGACTCCGTTTCCTTCTCCAAAAATAGGAGCAATAAGCATAACCCACATTATAAAGTTGAAGTGAGAATTAAATGAATGAATGTAAAATTCTCAAAATTGTGCCTGGCACATAACATAGCAAGTACTCAGTACGTGTTAGAGATGATAATGAAGATAATGAGGGGTGAGAGTTGTAGGGAAGGACCTAAAAACTCCAGAAAAATTTCAAAAGGAAAGATAAATAGTAATACTGTAAAATCACAAAAGAAATCACCAATAAGATCTCTTATATTATGTTGTTTGTTTTGTAGCCAACTTACCTTATTATATTCCACGTGAAGCTTTTCTTGTTCATTCTCTAATTTATCCTTTATATTTTTTTGTTCAGCCATATTTTCCTGAATTTGAATCATGCGCATATTCCTCTCTATATAAATTAAATATCAAAATTTACTTTAGTAGAAAATAAAAGCTGATGTACACAATACACAAAGGAAGAAGCTAGCCATAGAGATGATCACATGGATAAACCTACATTGTTTAAAACACTTTTAACTCTATTCACAAATACATGAACCTAGCATTTTACAACAACCCACAACTTATTAGGAAAATAAACATGCTTTTGCTTGATATATTCAGCATGGCTAATGAATTAAAAATTGACAGTATACCAAATATTTTCATTAACAAATTGTTCTCATTGAAAATGTTCACATAACAGTGTCTATACTGACCAAAATAATAATTCACAAAATCAGCAGTGAGAGCAGGTTGCTTGTGCTTTCTCCTTCCATCCACACTAGAACTAGTATCTGAATTGTCCACTGGGAAGATATCTGTACTGATCCCCATTAGTTCTGCTTTCCGCATCAGTTTACGAATGGCTGAAGCACTGCTAGTGAGTGGTCTGGGCAATTTTTCCCTTGGAACCCAGGCCTGGGGTCTGGTGGATCGGGCTAGTTCTGCTTTGGCACGATACTGCTGAAGCCGGGCATTGATCCTTGCCTATAAAAAATGTATACAAATTTTAAAATATATTAAAATGGAATAGACTCCTTATAATTTTTAATTCTGTGCTTAGAGAAAGTAAAGATAACACAGAATTCCCTGTATCAAGGCAATTATATCTATCCGTGGTCCTTAAGGTGCACTGTATAATTCTTGGGTTACAGTAAATTAGGTCTACTCCTAGTAACAACTCTTCTATTCTATGATCAGAGTTGTCACAGACTAATTTTATTAAGCTGTGGTTTCTCTTCTTAATAAATGCAACTGTGTCCATACTTACATTTAAAATGATGGGCAAACTGATCAAATCCTTTGTATAAACATTAAAACAGACTGAAAAGATGTGGTCAACATACTGCCCTCATAGAATACTTACTTCTAAGCCACATTTTTTCAGTGAATTTGGAAACATGCTTTATAAATGGCTGCTCTGATGACTAGATGAGGAGCAATGTATTTAGCCACAAACTATATCTGCCATTTAACTTAATGACAACCCATTTCCTAAGTAACTAAATTTCATAACTATACTTTACATGCCAGTGGCAAACACCCACGAGGTCGGAAATACATAACCTCAAAAGAATAAGCATGAGTTTGGCATAAATTCCATACCTGTGCTTCTGGTGATAGCTGCTTCTCTCTTTCTTGTAGAGACATTTTACAATAGGACTGTAGAGCCAAGTAGTTTTTTCTCTTCCACTTTCTGTCCAACCTATCTGCATGTTGCTTACAATAAGCAAAAAATGGATCTGCTATATCCTATATCAAAAACGGGGAGAAAGTGAACATTTTTTACTCCAAAAGGTCATAAAAAACCCCAACACAATAGATAATTTTTAAAGACTCTCCAACAGTGTTATTTCTAAAATAAATTATAAAAGTAATTTATTCAGTGATAAAAACTGCTTCTTTAGAAACTTAATCCTGTATATCAACATCAAATTAACAATTTTTTTCTTTAAAGGGCCTTGTAGATTTAAACATACTTAAAACAAATCTTATGTATTATATTTAATTATACTTGTATACCTTAAAAAGGTCCTTTTTAAGATAAATAATATTTTAATAATCTAGGTGGAAATTATCATTAAATATTAAAGTTATGCATATATAGATTAGTATTATAAAACAATAATATATTCAGAAAATAGAGAACTAGCCAACACAGATAAGAGGGAAATTTCTAACTGGCTAGCAATACATGGACAAAAATGAATTAAGAAGGCCAGGCCCTGTCAATAAAACACTTTTAGGTATCCCCTTTACCTCTATATAACCCTAAAACCTTAAATGGAAATACAATGCTCTCATAGCCATCTTTCATGGTACTAGCTTAATGGCAATGGGTACATTTTTCATTCATAAAGAGTAAGGTACAATAAAAATAAAATAAATAAAATAAAATAAAATAAAATAATAAAATAAAATATAAAATAAAATAATAAAATAAAATAATAAAATAAAATAAAATAAAATAAATAATTCTATCAAAAACAGAAATATTTTTTAACTACATAGCCTAAAAAAAAATCTACCATGTGGTTGCTAATGAAATGACAGGTAGTCTTAAGGAGGAGAGGTAAAGATAAGCTATCCACATAGTTTTTATCTAAGTTATAGTAAAAGGGTCTCGTAGTGGGGTGAGGTTTACAACCCAAAGAGAAATGATGATACTAAAAAATAAAAATAAAATAAGAAAGAATAGAAAGAGAAATAATAACTAAAAAAGAATCTAAGGTGTCCTTAACATAAAGAATATATATGATGCACTTAGTGTGATATCCACAGATGTCAGACTGTAACACTGTGGATAAGGTCACAGGATTTAGAAATATAAAACCCTAGTTACAAGTTTTAGCTCCACCATTTTCTGGTTTTGTAGCTTCAAACAAGTTGCTAAACATCTCTGGGCCTCTGTTAACTCATTAATGAAATGGACTTAATAACTTCTTCATATAGCTATAAAAATAAAATACAAAAATGTTGATAGAAGACTGCATTCACACACACACACAAACACATCTGCTTTCTCACGACATGCTCTCAATCCTGGTGACAGAAAGTGCTAAATGGAAATAAAGATCTGAAGTATTTGTCCATTGTTTCAAAGTAGGAAAGGTTGAAATTGAGTTATCAGGTAGGATTCATGCTTGCATAGGTGAGTTAAACATTAGGACCAAGCCAGACTTAGGAAAAAGATCAGCCACCTTTGTTCTAAAAGATATCTGAAAGTGAGTAAGTAGCCCAAGTAATTTTGTTTTGTTTTGTTTTAATCAGTTAATTTTGGATTAAGGGACAATAAACCCTAATTCTACGGTTAGCATGACCAAGGGATTAATCTTGTTTAGAGAATGAAACAGATATATTATGCAAATACTAACTATTGTAGAAACCACTGCTTTCCAATTCTTCAGTTAGTACTAGAACCCTCTGAGTTTTTACTGGATGCATGGCTGCCCTGCTGGGAACACTCTTTCCCAGCCTCCCTTGCAGCTGGATATGGCCATGTGGTAAGTTCTGGCCAATGAGGTGTGTGAAATCTCCACACCCTTGAAAGAAAGCTGCCCACTCTTTTTGTTTTTAATTCTCACCCGAGGATATTTTTTCCATTGCTTTTCAGAGAGAGTGGCAGAGAGAGAGAAAGACAGAGATGTGAGAAAGACACTTTGGTTGCCTCCTGTGCACGACCCCTACTGGGGATCCAGCCCCCAACCCAGGCATGTGCGCTGACCAGGAAAGGAACCAGTGATCTCTGGGTGCATGGGACAACACACAATGAACTGAGCCACACCGGCCAGGGCCGTATATTGTTAACTCTTGAAGTTTTAGACCAGCGATCTAGGCAAAGCCTTTAAGAATAAACTTGTAAGTTTAATTTACGATGCATACCTATTGTAGGATATAATGGAGTCATGAGAATTCTCACAAACATATTCATCAACTATAGGTTTACATAAACCTACCTCTTCTGCTGCTGCCTCTGAAAGCAGACCTTCCTTCTGGGCGCATGTCACGTGGAAATAGGCTCTGCACATCCCTGCATCACAGCTAATGCAAACTCCAGTTCTAGCAAAACGAGGGTCTTCACAGAAGCTACACTCCTACATTGGAATAACAGGAAAGTGCTCAGAGTACAAATATTTCCAGAATGAAGACAGCATTCTCATACAAAGCATCCACAAAATACAAAAAGTGAACCAATAGTAAGTATATCAATACAAACAATAACAGTAGGCAAGCCAAGAAAAAATTCTCTATGTGATTCAAATAAACCAAATTTCCACTGACATAATAATAATGATAATAATATTTGAGGGCTTACCATGTGCTAGGCACTATTCTAAGCACTTTACATATATTAATATCATTTCACAATATTCCACACTAATATGTGAATGAGGTAATATAAGTATTCCCACTTTACACATGAGAAAATTGAGGTGAAGACAGGATCAGGAATCCACTCAAAATAACACAAGAAATAACTGGAAACCAGTCTTCAAACCAGGTAATCTTACTTTACAGTTGATGCTCTTAACAATTAAGTTACACTGGGTAAGACAATATAATGCTGCTTGGGAAAAGAATGAAAATAAATAAAAAGTCAGAGAAAATTCACCAAAAGATCTAGGCATTACAAAGAAATCATGCATTTAAAAAATATCTTTAAGAGAATTAAAAGTGGTCTAAGTTAAGTGATATACAACATAGCCAATTATTTATATTATTTCTATATACTAAAGGGAAATGGTAAAATTAAAAGTATAAACTGCTGAATATATCCCAGGTCCCCTCCAAATTTATCTATTTTTCTTTTTAACTATCTTAACTACAGAGAGAAAAAATCTAGTCTCAAAATATATACTACTCTGGAAATAGGAATCTTTATAAAAGAAAAACTTGCTAAATTGTGGAAAACTGCCAGTAGACAAGGAAGTACTAAATGTATTCTAAGTAAATTAAATATGACAAACATATAAAGGGCAAAAAGTTTCAGTAGGTACTAAAAATATCATTACAGTACTATAACAGTTAGTGACTACCGACTGGGTAGACATCAGCAGACTGACACATCGGCAATGAATGAAAATAGCAGGAATAGGACTCTGGGTACCGATGTGAAAACACTCCCAAATCCTGATACTCTACTGCCTAGTTAAGGGTCCTTTTCCAATAATAGTGTGTATGCTATGAAATACCAGCAAACAGTAACCTAAACTTGATACCAAAAAAGAGAAAGAGGAAATAGAAGAAGAGAGGGCAGGAGAGAAAGAGAGAAATTAAATTATTTAAAGGATGTCAATACTATGACTAGAACCAAATTGTAATATGGTAAAATTGAGCAAGGGATGTCAGAGTGAACACAAAGAAAACTTCCCTAACGATAAAGTGTTATAAGAGTACAGAACAACCTGTCAGAGAAAATGGAGTATTCCTCAATTGCCTAAATCATTTAAAATGCTAGGGAACTAAGCAACTGAGAACACTAGGGAGAAAGTACTCAGGATTAGGAAACGGGCAGACAATGTGGTCCAGAAGAGCTGTCCCTGCTATAATTCACAACACTGCTAGATTCTGCAGATGAGCTGGAGAATACAAAATTCTCCACTCCATTTCCGAGTAATACTTCAAAACAGAATCAAGTGATAATGAAAAAGTCAACTGACAACTGGGCATTTAATAACTCTTCAGTCTGGAGGTCACTGCTCACTTCAATTATATGAAGTAATGTCTAGTTACTGTTTTTTGTTTCTAGATTTATATTTGTGATCATAATGTATGCCTATTAAAAAATGACTCAAGCTAGTCCCTTCTAGCTCTGTGCTTGTGAATTATGGAGCTGCTATCAAAAAGTAGTAACTTCTACTTCCAATAATGGTGGACTAGGTAATTTGTATTAGTGTGGCTCAACTAGAAAATGTGGACAACAGTTATTTAACACTATAGCTTAAAGGCATCAGAGAGGTAACAAGATAGTGCAGAATTACCTGAAGACCAGAAAAGTAAGTGCAGTGGTTGGGCCTGCTTTTCTCCCTGGGGGCTTTAGCTAATTCTGGAGGGGGCAGCTGTGAATAGTTTAACAAACATTACCCAAACTAAAGCACAAAATTACTGGAGTGCAGGGGGGCAGGGGAGCATGGTGGTGGTTAGAGCCAAAGGAATATATTCTGAGTATAAATAGCAGAAACTGTCAAATTTCTAAATGTTCAATATAAAAATTTCCCAACAATCTATGAATTCTCCACCTCACCTTTAATATGTTACGGATGCTATTCAAGAGTCTTCCTTCCCAATTTCCCAATAAACAGTAATGAAAAGAGAACACAGAAGTGCCCAGTTAGTTCTAGTATTCCAGGAAGTTTGTAGTAATTATATACCTAAGTTTAAATTAGTAAGTGGGTATTTTTATCATTGATAATCCTAAAGGTCAGTCAACAAAAACCAATTTATGATCAAGGTTGAGAATCATTTGCTCAGCAGGTTATGTAGGGTTATGTAGTCGTAACGATAAAACCAGTCCTTGAGTGCTTCCTCTACTCTTTTTCACAATTTTGATAAATTCCACTTCCAAAGTAAAATCAGAGATTAGGTTTGTATTTGACCCAACTAATTAAAACTAAGGATTTCAGCCCTGCCGGGCATGGCTCGCGGTTGAGCGTCGACCTAGGATCCAGGCAATCGGGGTTCGATTCCCGGTCAGGGCACATGCCCGGGTTGCGGGCTCAATCAATGACTCTCTCTCATCATTGATGTTTCTCTCTCTCTCTCTCCCTCTCCTTTCCTCTCTCTGAAATCAATAAAGATATATTTAAAAAAAAAAAAAATAAGGATTTCATCTGGAAACTCACTATATACTAGGCAGTGTGTTAAATGCCAGGGAAATAGCAGTAGTATCAACTACCACTTTACCCCCACAGGTTATTCTAAATTAAAAATACCTGGAAGAATTTATACATTTTTAGCTTTCTGAGAAAATTACTATAAATAATAAATGACATAATGCTAACTGTTATACAAACAGCATGATTACTAATAAAGCATCTCTGTGGTCAATATAAGTAAAAAGCCATGTAAACTAGTAAGTAAAAACTTTCTCTTTTAGACAATCAAAAACACTGTCTCACCTTGGCACCGTATTTGGAATAGTTCATTTCAGTTAGAGTTACTGGTCGTAATTTGTCAATATCTCCAAATGCTACTCCAGGAACATACAGGGCACAAACAATGTGAACCCATCTACAAGGAGAGAACATACAATTTTTCTATCAAACCCTTTTATAAAATGTCCACATGGAAAATACACATAAAATATATACCATCTCAAATAATTACTGAAAGAGTTCTATGGTCAGATTTCAAAATCTCAGACATAAAACTAAAGAATATGGAACACATATAGGATATTATCATTTAGTTACAGAAAAAGTGACTAAAATAAGCACTACTTTTCTATCTGCTTAGTCAAAGCTGAATTAACAATGACCTTTCATTTAAAATTCACTGCACTTTGCATTTATCTGTTAGTCTTAAATATTTGCACAAACCATTACTCATATGAAACAAAACATCATTTTCATACGCATGAAAAAGTATTCACATTCATTATTTTAAGTACTTTGAGAATTAAGAATCCTAATTTAAGAACTGTGAAGTTACTCTGCAGTAATTAGGTAAAATTGTTTCTGTTACTTTTTTTCTAAAGGCTGTTAGATAATCCTTAAGGACATATTTTAAAACAATTTTTGGTATGCATTTTCACTTTCTTCCCAGGTTAAAGCTAACTGCTAGAAAACTGTACAAAACAGTTATAATAATATAAGGAAGTCATATTTCATTCACTCATCTCTTAACAACACAACTTACATATTAAAACTTATATCCCCCACATAAAATTTTTTTAAAATCTGAATGATGCAGCAACACTAAACAAAGAATGCTCAAAGTTTCAGTACACGAAAAAGAACAAATCAGGTTGATTCTGGTCATTTTTAACTGCTCTGAACCTTTTGTAATATATTAGGCAGTTTCATTTTGCTCTCAACCAAAATATGGATCATTGGACTTTGATATTTAAATAGATCTATATCACTTCCGTAAGAAAGAGGGTAAAAGTGAGAGGGCAAATCTCTCTTAACCTTGTGAATATATTAACAACAGCTTCTCCTTTATCACAGCTTAGAGGCTATGATTGCTACATGGTTCTGTTTTGTGATGCACTATGAGTTTTAAATAAATAATACTAAGAATCATTTTATAGAAGTACCGGGGAAAATAGTTACACATCTTTAAAAATTATCTTTTTTATTAGAAAAAACTCCAAAGTTTGAGATTTTTCTTGATAGAATGTTTTAATCCAACCTCCCAAATGCATCCTGTGGAGTTCAATATAAAGATACACATCTCCAACAAGCAGCTTTCTCAATTTAATTTGAGCAGTTTTTTCATGCTCCACTGGTGTGTTAAATGCTGCTGTACTCTACAGGAGTTTATCTTTGATAAACCCAACAGCTGGCTGCTTGATGCAGACTGACCTTCTTAAAATGTCTTAGTACAAGTTACACAAGCGTTACAGATACAATCACCATTTCAGTGTGACTGGCATACAAGTGTATCCTTCCCCCCAGCCATTCATGAGAGGATGCCAACATGAGTCTTTATTAAAATGCAGATCAAAAAGCTGAGGCAGTGTTGGTCCTTATTGATACCTGTTATAAAAGATTTTTTGTTCATTGTTTAGCTGCACATGCTTTAGAACTTTGTAATTAAGGCAAATTGGGAAATCAAAAAGGAATAATCTTCCTTGTTACTTTACCATCCATTTTGGTTGGAGCTATGCTGACAGATGTTGATTGGGGAAAGGAGCAGAAAACAAGCACCACATAAAACCACCAAAAAATGAAGAGTCATAATTGTCATTCTAGCATAGAAACTATTGATAGATTCTTTTAAACTCACATATTTTAATAAAGCAAACTCAGTAGAAAGATACATCTCAAAAGACTCATTTCAGAATAGGAACTATATTCATCTATCAAGTTTGATTCCGAATAGCCTTGAATCTGTCGTGCCTTTACAACATATAAAACAAATTCACTTCCAGTATGTTATTTTCAGTCCTTTACTTATTCATCCACTAATTAGTTACTAAGAGCACCCCAGGCAGTCTGGAAGTCATGATAATGAATGTGAAGTGCTGCAGCGTGGTGCCTAGCATGCTATCTCTAGATATTAGAGTATGTCTAGTATTTCCCATAATCAGGTTTATTAAACCTCTTAAGACAGGGTAAAATACTCCAAGAAATGAAAAATTTAATGACAAGAATATACTCATGGTTTTCTCACATCCAGTCCCATCATTTTCTATGGAGAACTGGTGGCTACCATCAGAAACAGGGAAACAAGTCTAATTAGCCCATGTGACAGAGATCAATTTCAAAACTTTTTTAATACTTTCTATTCATTGTTCTTTCTTTTCCCCTGTTTTCTGTGTGAAGCTAGAATACTAAATGTATTGTCAAATCTTCTTGGCTATGTTTTATGCCTTGGATCAAGCTAGTGTTACATTCTTCAAGCTTTAAGACCTATAATTTCCACTATAGTCTATAGGTGAGTGTGGACATAAACATAAATAAATTGGTCGAACAGTATAAAAGAACTTTTGCCAGACTGCACAATCAAGGGAGATGCGAGGTCCACAGGAGCCAATACAAAAATCTCTCAGTAAATCTAAATGGTTAAAGAGGCCTCCCTTTTCTTCATTCACAACTTTACCAGTGGCTTTGTGGACTGTGATAGCATCAAGGGACAGCTACTTTAAAGTTTTCCAATAGAACTTTAAAATTATTAACAAAACAAAAAAATTCTCCTCCCTGAAAGGAAGCTCCCTGTTTTCCAAAGTTGCCTTATTTATTCGCCACAACTTACCACCATAAACTTCAACTCGCAGAACTGAAGAGTTACCAGAAAGGATTTATGCAGCGGGTACTCAGATTATTTTAAATAAGGAGGATAATATTTTTAATAAGAAAGCACTAGTGATAGCGGAAGTAACAGCGGTAGCAGCAACAGCAGCAGCCGAACTACAGAGACATCCAATGAGCACTTATGTTTCAGAAACTGTATAATTGTTTTATATGAATCATCTTATTTAATCTTCTCAAAAATGCTAAGGACACAGAGACACAGGAAGGTTAAGTAACTTGACTAAAAGCAGAGTTACTAAGAAAAGACAAGAACCCAAATACAAGTAGTCCAACTTGAAAGCACACACTTTAAATGCAGTACTATACTCCCTAATTCTAGGCCAAAGTCAGTCCAAACATAAAATGATGCCCATGTCTATGATATATACCACAGACTCTTGTCAATACATCATATCATTTGTTATGTATTTCTTTTATTTTAGTTTTTGGGTGGGCAGTGAGGAAGAGGAGGTAAGGTTAGCCATTTTTCCTAGACATCAACACACAAGGTGCTCCGAGAGTTCATGGTAGAGTACGTCCCAACAACGTGACATGGCAACATTCCTCAAGGGCCTGTGTACCAACTGCGGCAAAAATGGGGAAAGTAAGAAAAACATTTTTTACTTTACTAAAGTAACATTTATTTTATTTAAAATCCTATCCTTTATTTTGGGACACAATGTATCCTATCCTTTCCAATGCTAAAATATAAGAAATGATGGTGATAATGTGCATAGGTTTTGTTCTTGATAAAATATTACACACATTTGATAAAAATACTGAAGTACCCTTATGTGACAAAATAAAAAATGGAGCATCCCCTATTATAAGGAAGGGTGAGAGTGGGAAGTAATCCACAAAATACAAAAAGTTAGGGACTACTCTTACATTTCAGTCATCCATCCAAGGTGGGAGTCTCCTGAGGAAAAACATGAAAGATGTCAACACTATTTTGATGACAACTGCTCGCAGGGGATAATCAAGATGGGTATGAATACAATAGTGAAAAGAACAGAGGTCTGTGCCAGTTAACAATTTATTGCCTCAGCTCCAAACCCACCTTTCCACATCTGCTCTGCAAGAAGGGACAGAAGCCCTTCAGCAGGCGTTTCTGCTTTACAGTGACCACGTGCCCAGCTCCCTTAGGGTGCTGGAGGACATTGTGGGAGGAAAGGGCTTCTCCGCAGGGATGGGGGTAGGGAGGAGGGCATCCGCCAGAGCCCTGCCCCAGCCACACGCATCATCCCTCAGTGACCTTGCAGGCCTCGCCTGGAGATCTCTTTTCTGTGGCCCTTGCAACATAGACACCACATATAGCACCCTGGCTCCCTCTGCAATCTGTGCTCAGCCATCTGTACTCGCCAAGAACCACAGATTAGTTCTGGCCAAGGCAAACCAGCAAACGTCTCTACCAACCAATGGCTGCAACTACACCTTCTCCAGCAAGGTCTGAATCCCAGCCTGGGAGAAGGGGGTTATCCTTCCAATCTTTCAGAGTTCTTTTATATGTTATGGTTCCTTTTTTATCATAGCTTACTAATGCTTTAATTTCAAATTCCCCTTTTAAATCACTATGTAGGTTCTGTCTCCTGATATATTCTTGGAGTCAAACCAGATATGGGTTCAAACTGGACCAGCTTGTGGTTTTGAGAAAATTAAAATCACTTAAATGATCTGAGCCTTAGGTGCTACCCCTATAAGATCAGAAACTATAACATGTCCTACCATAGGTTTAATATTAGGATTAAATAGGCTAATGGGTATAAAGGCAAATGGAGGTACTCAATAAATGGTCTTTCCTCCTCCCCGCTCTGATCTTTAGCCTACTGTTCATTTACTCAGTGCCAAGAAGATACAAAAATGCAATCCAATGAAAGGAAGTAAAACACAGAAAATCAGAGTAAAAGAACACAGTAGTCAGAAGCAGATACATTATAAAGCAGGCATATTAACCCAAAAGAATTATGACATCAACCTTCCAGCATCTGTCTCCTTGAAAATCCCATCCTGATTGGGACACAGTTCACAGCTGGGGGAAACACCACATTTACAGGCATCACAAAACCATGGTTCAGTGGAGTTTTCAGAAGCTGAACTCATAATAGAGTCACTCTCTCCATCAACTCCATAGCAACCTAAAAAAAGAGAAAAGTATGATTAAGTAATTTATTTTTTTAAACTTACATTTATAAAATCACAAAAGAAAAAGAGAAGGAAAGTAGAGCAAAATTCTGAAAAAATAGTTTATAATGATGATTTTAATGTCAAAACACAAAGATGAAATCATTTTATAAAAAATGCTTTTTCACCTACTATAGTATACGCAATAAAATAAATGACTTTTTAAAATAGTTTTAGACGTACTGGAAAAGCATTAGGAAGTGGAAAATGTACATACAGTTCTTTTAAAAATGTTTAATTGAAAATACTTAAATATGAGTTTTCACTAATAAAATATCAGACTGAGCCTAGGAACTATTGATTAGTAAATATTTTTTTAGCTCCCTTTGTATAGGACATTAAAATATACATAGATGATCACATTCATGTAAAACAAACATACAAACAAAAAAGCCTCAGATCTGATTTTGGAGGTGGCAGCTTAAAACAAACTCCATATAGCCATAAATGTAAAGTAAGTATTAAGAAGGGCTACAGAACATTTGAACACTTCAGACTAGAATCAGACAAGCTGAGTTCCATTCACAAATGGAACCTCTAGCTATATGAGGTATTTTTTTCTTTTTAAACATTGATAATTCTATCTTCTATAAAAATTTATTTATAACTGAAATGAATGAAAATATTCCTCTTCTCATTCACTAATAACTCCTATTCTGAAAGGAGTTAATGTGATAAAAATCTTTAAGATACTCATGAACATACCAAATAAACTTTAGCATAGTACTTTACATTTTAGAGTAGGAATATTATACTTCAGCTACCTCCCAATTAGCAAAAGCAAGAAGTTTCCTTATTAACTAAAATATACGTCTGAAATTATAAGTAATATTTAAGGTTACTATTTGGGTTTTCAGATCTGTGTAAAATATGTATAAAATCAAAAAGATTTTCCCTGGTCTTGAGCTTAAAAAAAGTAGATTAGATGTCAAAGATGTAAGCCAACAGGAAATTCAGGCAGGACAACACTGTCAACATCTTGTTAAGATCAGGTTTCATCATGAAATTTCCTAAAACTCAATTTTGTCTATAAACTCAGCATTGATGAGGCTCTCAGTACCTGACAAACCAACCAAATTCACTAGGAAGTGATGTCACATCTATAGTGAATAATTTTTTCTCAGTATAAAGATACCAAGAAGAATGTATTGGCACCAAAAAGTGCTGATGATCATGGAATCCAGTAAAGGGGAATTGGAAAGTTGAGAGATAATTTCACCCAGACTATAAAAAACTATCCTGTTCTAGTGATGAGTTACAATAAAAATCATTCTCTGGTTACAACAGTGATTCCTAAATAACTTTCTTTTTCCTAAATGGTGCTGGACACACACCTTTATATAATCCAATTTCTCTTCTTCTGGAAAGAAAGACATGCCCCTCACGTTAAAATGTCCTTAGAGAAGCAATTTAATGCACCTACAGTTGAAATGGATTAATTCTGGTCCAGATGTATGCCCTTGTGATCTTTAGGCTAGGGCATTTTTCTGATCTTCCAACACATGTATTACCTCTCAAGATACATTCGTTGCTTCTACAGATAGTCAAGTATCAACCATCCCAGGACACGGCCCATAAAATGAAGACATTAGATAATCCACTATGAGAAAAATATATAAATAATGATCATCTCTCAAAAGGCTTCACCACTTAAGTAAGTTTATATATCCAATGTAAGGTCATGTGATTGTTTGAACTGACTATACACTAAACAGACAAAAAGGGCCTATATTGGAGGGTGCTTTCTTACAACCACCAAAGATACCCAAATTAAAATGAATAAATAACTATGTAAATAAGTAAATGCTGAGTCAAACAAATCACTCAGAAAGAAAAAAGAACGACATACAACTAGTAAATAATTTTAAAGTACCATTAATTTACTAGATGTCATTAATAGGTCAACAGTCATATGTAAATATTTCATTCATACATTACTACTATTCAATACAGACTATAATTAAAATAATCTAGTAGGCAGAAAACTAAAAGCTGATTTGCAATTATGATTTACATAAGCTGCCTCAAAAACTCCAACAATTACTATCATCATTAAGCTAGTCATGGCTTCATAGTAGTGAAACTTAATATAATGTAGAAGTCACATAAAAGAATGCCAAAGAAAAGATTTTAAAGAAACTAGAGTATACCAGATAAGCAAAGTAATCAGAATTCATTAATTTCTTTAATATCATTAAATTGTCGTTGGTAATCTTCATCACTTCTGTTGATATACATAAATTTTTAAAATGAAAAATAAAATTAAAAGGAAATAGTTTCCTTTTTGGAAGCAGTTATTATTGATTGTCACCCATAAAAGACAATTTTTCAGTAAAGGCAACAGTAAGCAAAACATTGTATTTAAAGAAAAATCATAAAACGAAATAAAAATAGTCAGTCTGCTTTTTCAAAGGATTATGCAATAATGCAAGGGGGAAAAATCTATTTTCTTTACAAAATAATGTTCCCTGTGAAACCAGTTCTTTCATCTGTATTCACACAAAGGCGGCAATTACCAAAATAATAAAGCCCCAAGGGGCTATCCATTTTATTCCTTTCATTCACCAAAGTCAAGGTAAATCACAGCAGTTCACTTTTTTAGAATAAAGCAAAATTTCAATTCTACTTTTTAGAAGAATATATTACACACATAGCAAACATTTGCACAGAGATTTAACCACCTAGGAACAACCTCCAAAATGATTCTGAGAGTCTCTCCTGGAAAATTTCTACTTGTAAGCTAGAAAATTGGTATCATGCAAGCTCAAAAAACATCCAGCAAGTGGTTAAGTATCTCTTCTTCAGCTTCATTGCTGCTGAAAAATAACCCATATCATGTAATCACCTTTACAGGATTCTTCCCTTGCCTTTCACCTGCCACTTTCCCCATATTTCCTCCATACCTATTGGGTTTACTCAGCTCTAGACCAAAGTTATAGCACTTAATATCCACTCGAATCTATTTTAATTAGTGACTAAATACATTTTTAAATCATTTTTCCTTCCATACAAAACAGAATTTAAACTACCATAAAACAGTGTTTGCTCTCTTTTACCTATCTAATTCTGAGTAAGATATGCCAAAAGTGCATCTTCAATGTGATTATGGAAAAAAATTTTTATATAGGTAAATATAAAATAAAAAGTTTATAAACATAAAATCCATTTCAGATGGATTAATCATGTTTTCAAATGAGTAAACACAGAAAGCATGTTTCTATGGCTATCTGATTAGGATCAACATATAAGTAACACATGCATCCTACACAAATCATAGTTAAGGGAAAATAATATAAAATGTGTTTACAATTGTTTTGAATTATACAAGAGTATGCATAGTCCAAATAAGTGGAAATTTTCCCCATTTAATTTGTCACAAGGGACCAAAAGACCTGCAGTTTTCTGTCTTCTGTCTATATAACTGGACAAACTGCGTCTCTGAGACTGAATCACCTCATCTGCAGTATGTATTTATATCTATCCTAACTATCTCTAGTATAGAAAGGGAAAAAATAGGAACACAAAGTTGCCATATAAAAACTTAAAACAGTTCTTAGTTATTTAACATCTTATCACTAAACCTCTGATTACAAAATCCACTGAAAGATTTTAAAGTGAGTCATGTTGTTTATGAGAAATGAACTTATACATGTACCTGTCAGAAATATATCCTAAAGCATGAAAGAACCAACTTTATTACCAGTAAACACTCATGCAGATATATTTCTGCATACACTAAGAAATAAAAATGGTGTAGGGCTAGGCTAACAGCAGAATGAAAACTAAACAGGAGGAAAACATCGCTCAGCAGACCTGATCTGATTTAATGCCTAGCAACTAAAATTAAGGGTAATTGCTGGCAAGTGCACTACCCAGTGCTCTGCCATATACTGTGACACATACCTGACATTTTTCCTCCGACATGGTGCAATCAGTGTATCAGGACAACTGACAGCACAGTCAGGGGTACCCTAGTATTACAAGTCAGTTACAAGATCTTGTCACAAAGGTGTTTACACTGACAGTCTGGAACCCTTCCATTTCAAAAAGAAAGGAGATTTATCTACATTTAGATGAAGTGAGTCCTCTGAAAACTAATTAGACAATCATACATTTAAAAAGCAACATCTGGAATACTATCTTTTAGCAAACCCTCAACTTAAAAGTCTCTCTTCATTATGACTGCTTCAGGACTATGTTTAACAAGGAGGAGGCGGAGGAAAAGAATGACACAGGAAACACATCAAAACACTAACTGTGGTGGCCTGGATATTAGGACCAGTAGAAACAAATTTTCTTCTCTCTGTTCTCTATTTCCCACGTTTTATTTAGCATCCATGTATTATATTATGATGCGTAAAATGTTTCTCTCTGAAATAAAGCAGCTGTTTATGTTTAGCTATGAGATCTTTAAGGGAAAGATGCATGGCTGAGTTACAATGTGGAAACCTGCAGGCACCTGAATTTGAAAAAAGCAAACAAACCTTAGCAACACTAGTTTCCTATTACGCTTTAGAAAATTTCCCCTTTCTCTGGATTAATTAATTTTAGATGAAAATTCATGTAAGGACTTAAAAAGTAGTAGAGAAAGATCTATAAATGTGACTGTATAAAAGAGAGCATTCTAAACACTGAAAAATATCACAAAATGAAAAGGTACAGGACAGGATGGAAAATAACTGTAACATACAGCAGGCAAAGGATTAACTATATTTTAAAAAAGAATTCTAATAAGTCAGTGAGAAAAAGACAACCTATTAAGAAATGACTAAGGAAATGTAAAACAAATAACAAAATAAAGTGCAAATGGCTTCTTGGGGAACCTCATCACAGGTTTGACCCAGGAACTGGACCTGGGCAGCTGGGGGCTTCCCACTCCCCTTCAGTTTTGGAATGTGCATTTCCCTGCACTAGAAGCTGTCCAAGGCCTTAAGCCTGAGATAGAAATGTGCTGATGAGATTATCTGGACTTGGTACTTGACTGTCCCTAGTTAAGGCTTCTATGTACGCTTTTGAGATTCTGGCCAGCAGGTGCAAAAAACTCATCTTGTGGCTGCCCATGACACACCTCCCACGTTCTTTGGCTTACTAAACCTGCCACCTACCAATCCGGGTAATCTGCCTTTTCTTCAGTGGCTCCCTGCCCTCCAGCATAAGGGGCCAGTTCTCCTTCTATCTCACTGGCCAGCCACGTGTTCCCCAGTCCCAACATCTTACCTACACCCAGACGGCTTAAAGCCAAACTTATACTGTCTACCTGAAAACCTATTCCTCTCTTGGATCACTGCAATGGTCTCCCTAAACCATCTTCCTGATTTCCACCTTAGACCTACTAGACCACTTCAGTCTACTCTCAATCCAACAGTCAGAGTGATCCCTCCAAAATATAAATCAAATCAGATTAATCCTCTGATCAAAACTCATGTATGTCTTCTTATACCCATCACAGTAAAATCTAAAATCAGTACTATGACCTGCAAGGCCTCACCTGGTTTGTCCCAACCTCTATCCTGCCACGAACCAGCTCGCTCACTCAGTTCTAGCCATACCAATCTCTGCCATTATACAAACACTCCAAGTATGTTCCCACTTCACGAATTTACACTCACTACTCTCTCATACTAGAGTGTTCTTCCCCCAAACATTCATAGGGCTTCTCCCTCACATCCTTCAGGTCACTGCTCAAATATCACCTTATTAGACAGGGTTTTCTATAAATACTGACCTCTAACTATCTACTCAACCACCCACATCCATAGCATTCCCAATACTCCAATGTCCAGATCACCACCTGATATGTATTTATTTATTATTTTTTCATTGCCAGTCTCTGTTACCAAACATTAAGCTCCATGAAGTCAGCAACCTCTATATTCTGGTTATTTCACATGTGCAAAACCTACAGAATGCCTAGTACGTGGAAGGTACTCAACAAACATTACTGAAAAAAATAAGTGAACTAGTAACAGAAAGAGGAGACATTCCCACAGTGAGCCTTAGCAGCAAGCAAGGGCAGCTTCACATGAAGGCAAGAGGATTGGTTAAACAGCACAGGCCCCACAGGTCCCACAAGTCGAGCAGACTCCCAGCTGGGGGGAGGGCTATAATACCAGAAAGGCGGGTAAGGGCAAGGCCACTGAAATGCTGTTTTATGGAAGTCATGGCCCTGATAGAAGAAAAAAAAAAATTAACTGATAGGAAAAAATAATAACTTTACTACTACAGAGAAACCTGAAGACACCTTCTCAACCAAGTAAAGTAACATCCCCTGCAACTGGACAAATAAACATTACACTATGTCATACTCTGAGAATACAATATAACTTCTATGACATTCCTGCCTAAAGCACATAACCTGAATTTAATAATGAGAAAACATAAATTTAAAAGCCCATAATAAGGATATTATATAAAAGAATTGGCCTTGTATTCTTCAAAAATACCAATGGCATATACAAAAAGGCACAGGATATGTTCTAGATTAAAGGTGACTAAATAGTAAAGACAACTGAATGCAGTCAATGATCCTGGATTTTATTTTGCTAGAATTGACATTATTGGGATGATCGGTAAAATGTGAATACAGTCGGTAGATTAGATGATAGTATTCTATCAGTGCTAATTTGCTGGCTTTGATAATTATGTGCTTAAGAGAATGCCCTTTTTCTTAAGAAATACACATGGGTATTTAGGGGTAGAAGGGCATTATGTCTATAGTTTACTCCTTCAGAGGTCAGAAAAAAAACTGTTATATGAGAGAAGATAAAACAAGTATAGCAAAATGTTACCATCTGTGAAATCTGAGTAAAGAAAATATGGGAATTCTTTGTATTACTCATAACTTTTTTGTAAGTCAGAAATTACATCAAAATAAAAATTTTAAGTAAAAAAAATTATATAACAGCCTGGCCAGGCGTGGCTCAGCAGTTGAGCATTGACCTAGGATCCAGGAGATTGAGATTCGATTCCCGATCAGGGCACATGCCCGGGTTGTGGGCTCAATCCCCAGTCGGGGGCATGCAGGAGGCAGCAGATCAATGACTTTCTCATTATTGATGTTTTTATCTCTCTCTCTCCCTCCCTCTCCCTTCTTCTCTCTGAAATCAATAAAGATATATTAAATAAAATTTTTTTTAAAATTATATAACAAAGAAGGTTCAAAAATTATAATCAGGAAAAATATTTTCAGTATATTACAGTGACTCCTATTTCAGATTTTAAAAGATGACCCCTACATATTCTCCTTTCAAGTTCAAAATTAAAAATAACTCTGAAAGGAGAAAGTGTATAATATCACTATGCTTAGAATGTTACTTTTTAAATACTATAATGCATTCTACTGGACTAACATATTAGACTTTGTCTACATCTAAATTTCATTTAAAAACTAGAATAAATAGTGTCATGAAAGAAAACTATAACACTGACCATCAAAGACTTATTGTGGTGTCCACATAGTAACATTTCTATTTTTATTACTTTAAAACACATTTAGAGTGGTGAGAGGTTGAAGAGGGTAAAGAAGGTCAAATATATGGTGACAGAAACTTTGGGTGATGAGTACACAATGCAATATACAGATGATATATTATAATATACACTTGAAGCCTATATAATCTTATTAACCAATATCACCCCAATAACAATAAAAAATTTAAAACATATTTAAAGTTAACACAATCTGAAAAATAATACCCATCGTACTTGAAGGATTCAGTATGTCTTATATCAACTCAAACATCATGAAATATTACAGGAAAATCTTAGAATAGTACAAATGTGTAAAAGAATTGATTTTACTTTTTTAAATGCAGTGTCAATCAGCCATTTCTGAAAAGGGAAAAAACAAAACAAAATTACCTTCATGGACTGTAATACCACAATTGTCACACTGAATTATTTCATCAGCGTCTTCGCTATTATCTCCAAGACAAACACAGCAAATCAGAATATGGTCCATTTTTTGAGAACTCCAGTTTTGACTCTTCTCAAGAATCAGCGAGTCCTAATATTAAAACATATAAGAAAATCACGTATTTAAATGAAAAGGTAATTTTCATAAATAAATTCTCACTTAAAATTCTTTTATGGATTTCCCTAATTATGCTGCCTTCTCCATTCTTTTAGTAATTTCAGAGCAGGCTACATTGGAGAAGTACACCTCTGTGTCAAAGGACCCTGCAAGCGCCCTCTAACGGTTCACTTCTCTTCAAGTCCCATGTACTTGCTCCTCTAGGGAATGGAAAAGCAAGCATGCAACCAACAACTCCATGTCTGCTTTGCCACCCTGTGTAGTCTAACCCTTAATCTAGGAGAAAGGAAAAAGTAACCTGTAAGTAATTATTAACCCTATACATTGCTTTAAAATGTATAAAACATTAGGCTCCTGCTCTTTAGAGACTTACAATCCTACCCAGGGAAGACAAGACATGCATATATTAAACAGGAATAAAGCAATTCAAGATAACCTATCAGCAAACCTGTCAGCAACTATGTATGTGATGGCAGTTATAGGCCTACACTCCTGATGTGTATAAAGGTAATTCAGGAGTTCCAGGGTCATCCAACTACTGGATGATAGATACATGAGGGCCTACCTAGGTATGTCCATGTATACAGGTACAGAAAACCATCTAAAAAAGGATCCAGGTTGATTAGTTGCTAGGAGAATCAGAGTACTCATATTAGGTTTATGTCAAGAAATATCTGGTAATAAAGAGCCTAGCTAATTGTAATATAAAAGGAAAAAGATATATTAATAGATAAATATAAAAAGATAAAATTTCAAGAAAGGGAAGAGTTTGCTTCTTTTAATTTAAACCTTCTGCATTATGGATTTAAATTTTAAAGGGTAAGTTAAAAAGATAATAATTCTTGTCATATTTAACAGACTGGGCTTAGTGTTACATAGTAAAAGATGGCACTTAAGTCTATATATTTTCATTTAATAACTTAACCATATTCAGAAAAAAACTAATAAATTAGTTCCATATTATACATTCACTATATTGTTTCATATTTTTATATATTTTTGTTCTCTTAAACTGACCAATATTAAAAGGTAACATTTAGTTATCATTTCAATAGCAGTTTGTGACATCTGAATGAATGACATTTGAATGTCACAATTAATAACCATCAGTATATTTCGTAAACTTGCAATTGATCTGTAGAACAGATCAGAAAAGAGTGCAAAAGTCAACAGGGAGATATGCAATTTCTCTTGAGAATTCTAGTACTTTAAACTTTTATATTTTGCTTCTTTTTGTTATAAATTCAAAGTAGTTTAGGGGCTTTGGACATGGCAAGCAAATAAATGTAAAAAGTTCCTAAAAAGAAAACTCATGTTTTACAGTACTTTGGTACAGTGAGTAAAATAAAAATATGCCCAGATTTTCATCCCATTAGCCATGTTTCACATTTCACTCTAAGTCAAATGTTGTTCGGTTTCATTCTCAACTCTCATTTAATAGCTGTTGAACTTGAAGCTGTAGTTTTCTCATCTGTAAAATGGGATGATAAAAGTAATACCTACCTCATGAGGTTATTGTGAGAATTAAAAACATAATGTATGTAAGAATGTTCCTGAGACATACTAGATACTCAATAAATGTTCATTCCCATTCTCCTTTCCTCTATTTCTTGCAGGAGGGTGAAAAGAGAAACATTGAGCTGACCATTTATTACATTTAGGAATCTCCCTTGGAACCACAAAAGAAGTTATAAGCCTCAGTGACCACAGCTACTATAAATATGGTTAAGTCCAAAGTGACTTTTCTCTTAGGATATCACATCTAGGTTTAAAAAAATCACAGACTAGGGAAAGACCTAATAACCAGAGTTTCATGACTGAGAGGATACTCGTATTTATGGGCTGTGACAGTATTTATCTGGTGGAATTACAACAATTAATCAGCCCTTGAAAAAGGTTTATCCATATGGGAAACAAGAAAATTTCAATGGATCAGAAAAAGTAACAGGTAGCTAATTCCAGTATTTTCCTAATTGTCTATTTTGCTCAGGAAAACAGTAAGTGGCTAAATTATATCTCCACACCAATTTCTCTCCTATACATATTATCATTTAGAGGCAGAGATAACAAAGTTAACTGGTGTCTCTGGCCCTGTGTTCCCTATCATTAGAAACTCTTACTAGAAATGTAATGCAAAGAGAGACAAATGGAGGGAAAATAGCACCCTGTAATGATAATGCACAATCCAGTGGTTCACAGGCAGTGCTTCAATGGGAAAATCTGAGTAACAGTCTCTTAAAAAATTATGCTCTATGCCCCGCCAGGCGTGGCTCAGCGGTTGAGCATCGACCTGGGATCCAGGCGATCAGGGTTCGATTCCTGGTCAGGGCACATGCCCGGGTTGTGGGCTCGATCAATGACTCTCTCATCATTGATGTTTCTATCTCTCTCTCTCCCTCTCCTTTCCTCTCTCTGAAATCAATAAGGATATATTTAAAAAAAAAAAAAAATTATGCTCTAAGTTGTCTTTAAGAGATCAAACATAGATTTTAGCACACTTATAATCAGAATATAAAAGCCAACTTAATTAGTTTTCATTAACATATTTCTAAAGCTGTATATATAATTTTTCAAGTTTCTGGAGAAGACAGTTTTCACCACAAAATCTATTTGAAAATATGATTTTTACATAAAAATAGAAATTGGGAAAGTTGGTTTTGAATGGCATGAGAGTATCACTTAGAATATAACTTTAATATTATGGAATAATTTAAAGGATTCTAGTGGTAATTATAAGAATAAATGGGACACTATAGTAAATTAATTATAGTAAATAATTTCATTTTTTCCCTTGAGATTTTAAATTTATACCAAAAATTATAATATTGCCCAATGGTCTCGTGGCTCTAAAATATGCTTAGTGTTCATTTATATGTGTATTCCACATAGATGATTATAAATAATTTATACAACAGGGTAAATTCTAAGTTATATGTATCCTTAATAGAAGGAAATTCCAGCACACTACATGTAAAACCAGAATTAAAGGAATCTATTGCCTTGAAGAAGGGAATAAAATTAGTATACCAAGAAGTTTGACCAATAGTTCCATGTTTTTAAACAAGGTTAAATTCTTAAGAATCTCAAGTAATTTTTGTACAGTGTTAAAAATTGATTGTTTACACCTTAAAGAAATGTTTTATTTTGAAATGTGTAAAAAGGCAATTGATTAATAAGAAGCCCTAAACACAGTGGTTATTTATAAATTTCAGCAAAAGTTTTACATTTTAATTAGCAAATCAGAGGAGAATTGCCATTTCTGCACATGGCAAGACACTACTATCCATTTATTATAACTGAGTCTTTTATTTTAAAAAAAAACAGTAACTTCCATCTGAAAATTTCTACTGTTATGACTTTCTGTCATATATTAGTCCAAAGTTCTTTTAAAGTCCTGAATATGGAAACCAGGCTCTGAAAATACTATATAGCCCTCTGCCAAAAATTTACTTCAGGAAACTAAAAGGCAAGATAACTTAGTGAATCTCAAAGCTTCAAGATAAAAGTTTGAAATAACAGACACATAACCATATTCTGAGGAGACTGTTCAAAGTGCACCAAATTTAAAAATGCTATAATACCACTGACAAAGGCAAGTGCCCCTATGCAGAAAATGCCCAATTCTAGAACAGTAGTTCTCAAGATATAGTCTAGGAGCTGTCCTTTAGGGCCGTCCACAAGGTAAAGGCCATTTTCATAATACTACTAAGCCTATTTGCCTTTTTCACTCTCTTATCATGGGTGTAAGGTAAAGTTTTTCACAAGCTACATGACATGGGATGGCAATGGAATCATCGACCTGACAACTTATATACTTCTATATGTCTTATTTTTTGACATTTCAAAGTTTTAAATTGAAATGGTAAATATCGATATATAACCTACATAAATAATAACTGCGATCCTCAATAATTTTTTAAGAGTTTAAAGAGGTCTTGAAACCAAAATGTTTGAGAATCACTGCTCTAGAGTATTTCAAGGCCTGTAGCATAGATAAGATGTTCAGACCATTAACAGCCAATAATTTATAAAAGGCCCCTGCTCAAAAAAATATCAAATTTCCCTAAAAAACTTCCAAGTTCCTGAAGTTCCTGGGTATCACTTACATGACACCCAACATCCTTTCCCTACAAACCACTTGACATAGCAGCCAAGAAAAAAAGTGCATCTGCTTATAAACTAAATATAATTCTATTAGGTATTTCTAAAGCCACATTAGCTATCTCTACTCCAAAGCAGTATTTGAAAACTTATAAAGCAGAGAAAAATAAAACTTCAAATATAACCAAATAAATACATATTAACTAACGGACACTTGGCAAGGTATATCTACCTAAGATAGCCAAGAAGACACAAACATTGGCTATAAGGCAACAAGGATTACTTTTATTCATCTTTTTACAAAATCAAGATCATATGAATAGGAAATTTAGAAACATAAGATAAAATGATAATCTCAATTGAATAGTTTTTTATCAAAATGTAGTATCTAGTTTGAGTAACATTTCAATAAAACTAATATCAAAAATTATTGAAGAATTTGAATAATAGTTTTGGGAGGGAAAGCAGTTATCAAGCTTTCAGGGAAAATTAACTTTCTGTAAGTTCTACATTTCTACATAGGGTAGAGGCAAAAGGAAAGTTAACATAAAATAACAGAAGAGGAATTAATTTAGCTACTTAAGAAGAAACAAGGCACTTTTCCAAGAAATACTCTGGAATCTCATTCCTTTGGGACTGTTAACCTAAATATATCAAGTCCCATTATTTACTAAAGTCTCTTCTGGTAAGAAAAAACCAAACAGCACATGTGACCTTGAAGTGCATCATAAAAATAGCCTACAACCCCTTAAGCAATATATTATGCATTATAGATTATTAACAAATGGATACCAAAGAGATTCTATGTGGCAAATTTCTGGACATATGAAGGTGTTTCCCCTATCTTAGCATAAGTCTAATCCACGCTGCCTCTATCATTAGCCGGCCTACTTTTGTGAATGTCAGGCTAATAAAAATGGAGAAAGTGATGCTGCCAAAGGTAAACTTATTCAGTAAATACAGATGGAATACTAAGTGCTATAAAATAAAGTGGATACATACCTAAAAAACAAATGTGAACAACTGGATTTTCCATACTTCTATTTCCATAAATTGGCACTGAGAATATGGAACTGCCTGTGCTACATTATTATAAATACTATATTATAACCCAAATGACAATTCTCTTTACCTAAAGATAAGAATTAAGATAGCACTGGAGGCAAGCAACACTCTTCATATGAAAGTAGGCACAACAGAAGTTAAAAAATGTTTATAATCTAAAATATAAACTGTTGTTTCATCTCTACTGACATATAACCCCTCACTGACTGCTATGTATTATTTCGGTAAGAAAATCACCATATTTTTTAATGAAACTTAGTTAAGATGGATAATCACTGCTAAATAAAATTTGTAAGCAGAAGAAATGTAAAAGAACAAATAAAGCATAAAAGAAAAAATTTTCTACCAGTTTAACCTATGTCAATGGTATGAAAAACAAAGTGCTTGATAAAGTGAAAGTGAATTTTCATGACTATAAACACACTAACAAAATGACACTTATATTCTAGTTCTACATGTGATGTAACAAATACATCTACATGTGGGAAGACAACTCAGTCTTTCTTTTGAAGAAAAACATATACATAAACACACAGACAAAAAGACACAAATGTGTTTGACTGAAGAGTCTTGAATGTTGCATCTCGGGCCCAATGGATAAACCTAATTTTCAGCAGTAGAACATCACGTGGAAGAACTGAGTCATTACATGTAGTTTTATGATAGAAATGTTTGTTTGGTGATGGAAATGTTTGTTTTCATTTCTTTGTAGAGAGAACTTATTCACTAAATACATGTAAACATATCGTTTATATTTACTCCCATACATCTAAATCAAAGATCTGGTGACCGTTCAGACAATGGTGCAACGATTGGTAAAGAAATTAACCTTGAAAATTAATCTCTAAAAGTCTGAGACAATTGTTAAACTGTTGTTGCCTTGCTCTCAAGTATTCTAAAAGTCTAAACTTTTACGTGGATATGAACATAACGGAGTTGAAAGAAAGGTGACCCTTTTTTCCATAATCCAATTAGCATCCTTCAGCAGGCCTAAGGACAGTGGGGTGAGAGGATAGAAAGGTCAAGGAGAAACCCTACCATTTCCCAAGTCTATGGATATAAGAATATTCCTCTAAGCACATGGACTGTGAGCTCCTTGAGAACGATGACTGCGAGCTCCTTGAGGACGGTGACAGACAGCAGGAATTCAATAAAGGTGGCTGAGCAAGTGAATGTGTTACACCGACTCCCTCCTCTCTCCCCGGGATTGCAGGGAAGCGGCTACGGCCCGAGCGGCCCGGCCTCGAGCACTCCCGTCACCCCACAGACAGACCCATAAAAAGCGGCGCTCTACCTCGTTGCTCTTGCTCTGAGATAGGGCGAGGCTATCATTGGTCAGTTCCTCGTCGTCGGCGCAGTTCCGGCTGGGCGCCTTGCCCCGCCTCTTCCGGCCGCCCTCGCTGGCCGGGCTGCCGCGGCCCTCCTCGGGGCCCTCGTGCTCCTCCTCGTCGCTGCCGCTGCCCTCCTCCTCCTCGTCCTCGTTGTCCCCGTCGCTGCCCTCCTTCTGAGAGGCAGCTCTTCCCTTTCTCTTCACCACCGTGGGCCGCCAGTCATTGTCGTCCTCGCTGTCGTAGTCGTCCATGTCGTTCAGCTCTTCCATGGACACGAAATCCAGAAGCGGCCGGTTTCGGCGCAGGTTCCACTTCTTGGGCTCACTGACTTGCTCCTCCGCGGCCGTGGGGGGGCCCGAGGGCGACGCGCTGACCGCGGGAGGGCT